TACCCGCACGAGTTATATGTTATTGTATTAACTAAAGTAATAATTTTTGTTTTGGTTAGCTAAACGTATCTATTTCTAGTCGAATATGTTTACGAAAAAGGGATTTTCATGCCGAAACCTTCAACGAGTGGGTGGACGAGGAATTTACTGCGTCATATATTACATAAAAGAGTACTCACACGAGTTTTATATTAGTTTATTTATAGTTCCTTTCACGGTTTCCGACGCCATATTGTTTGGGCAGAAGTGTAGGGAAAGAGATACGTTTTTCGTAATATTTCCATTCTGAGGTCACCCTGCGAGCAAAGTCTCCTTTACCTTCCCCCGAGTGAGAGAAAGGAAAGAGTCTTCTTTCCTTTCTCTCACTCGGGGGAAGGTAAAGGAGACTTTGCTCGCAGGGTATTCTGAGGTAAATTTTCGAGACCAAACTTTTTCTGTAGATGGAGAATCTTCTGTTCAATAATGTTTTGTGTGGTGTTTTTGAGCCGATGGAGCCACCATAACACTGGTTTTCAGAGAGACGGAGGCTTGCTTTGGGGTTTGCGAACAAGACTCATTTATGCTGGTTCAATTTGACCGTAAAAAAATATTCAAACCGAATCCACGGACTTTCTTCTGTCTTACAATGACTAAATCCCAAATAGTCTTGTACTCTATTCAAAGTATCAAATGTGCACAGCACATTTGACACGTTTTCCCGTGTCAAAACTTGTTAAGTTTCATTTTGTTTAAACCCGATCACAAGAAATAGCTTTGCCTTTTGTTTAGCACCGCATTAGAATTAAGGCCACAGAATTAAAGAAAAAAGACAAGAATACGTAAAAGAAACAAACCTTTTCTGCAATATAGATGTCGCGTTTGCCAGTGTTTCCCTTTGTTTCAGTAAAGCAGGTGAAAATCGATCTTAATTAAGGGCCGAGTGTCATGCGCAGAAATGCTAGTCGTATGTCCTTTTCTCATTAAGGTTGCTCCATAGGGTTTTATCCGCGCGCTCGGCATGCAACTTCAAATCGCAAATATGCGGACGCAAACGATCCAATACTAATTTTTTTTAGACGTTTCAAGGGAAAGATAAAATATACGAATGAGCATGTTTCTACTGAAATCGGAATTAATCTAAGATCGCTGTTAAGCGTTGGTGCTTTTACTTTATTGCCTATTTTCTCCATATTTTGACCTAAGTTTTTGAATTGCTTTTGAGATATTGGAGGATATAAGTAATTTGCTCAAGGATCAGAAAATTTGAAGAAAATCTGTGAGAGCATTTTCGGGAAATTTCATATTGAAGCTTTGAAGCATAAAAAATTTGCAGAAACAAAACACGTTTTCCTTTCTTGTCTTCACGCTTTTCTTAGCATTTTCATTCACTTGTCTTCGGCGGGTTTCCCTTCCGATTTCTTCTCTTATGTATGGATCTACAGAATCACTTATATAAATCACCAAAAAGTAATGATGTTTTTGATGGAGAGCCACCCTCTAGTACGTTTGAAATCATACAATTTCCTCTTGAGAAGATTTGATAGCAATCTATATACAGTATACTCAATCAATTGCAATATATCGATTCTAAGATGAATATTCGGCGTCGTAACTCAGCTCTCAGAGAGGATGATTATGGCCAATTATGATCACCTTCTGTATATTGCACCTATTCTAATGACATTAAAATATTTCCCATCAATCCAACAGCGCAGTCCTCCAATAAAATATTTGAGCTCATTGGTTGGTAATTTTAAGTAAAAAATTATATTTCTTTTTTTCAATAAATATAATGAAAGAAATTTAACAAATTAAATGCGATAATGTTAAAAATTCATGCAATTAACGTTAAGGAAAATTGCCTAAAAGACTAGGAGAAGAAGAAAGAAAGAAAGAAAGAAA